ACTTCGCGCTCATTGAAATTGATTCCAATTTATTCTTGTTTTTTTATATTTTGTTATTTATTATAATATTGCTTTCTTAGAATTCAATTCTTGAAATTCTTCATTTTAAAGAAAAATAAATAAAGAAATAAATTTTATTCCTAATTACTCTTATCCAGTATTTGAAAATGTCAATGATACTTATTACATTGTTAATTTTATAAAGTCCATATGTCAAAGGAACATTATTATTTCTAATAAATTTTGTTTTTCATCAAATTTGGCTCTGTTGGTGTATCCAATTAAATTTGTTCGTTGTATATTCATAAGTTCTGCATTCTCTTCGATAAAACGTTATAAAATGAAGTTAATCGTTAATAACAATTAAAGAATTAAGGATAATATTATTCAAAGGTAATTTTTTTCTTCGCTAGATTATGAATATTCGCAAAATTTAAATATACTTAACTATACATTTAATACAGAATAATCAAATATTATCTATTTAAGACTACATAATTTATAGTAATTTGCGTGGTAATTATGTACTGTAAAATTTTAAGTTTTTCTATTTTAATGGAACATTACGACACATTTAAACAGTGAATATTGGTAAGTCAAAATTATTTAATTATTACTTGTCCTTAATTATTTATAAAATTTCTTCTTCTTCTTCTTCTTCTTCTTCTTATTATTATTATTATTATTATTATTATTATTGATTTGTAAAAATTACTATTGTTACCATTAGTTAGACTATTTGGTAAAGGTATATTTAATTATGTTATATTTTAATTTAAAATATACAATAGTTGTAAATTAACTTAATTAATATTGTTATCTTCGCTGGTTTATGCGTTACATTGTTGCCTCGTAATAAAAATGCCTCGATGCATATAGCCAATCACATAATTGATATATTGACCCGATTTATAATTGGGCAAAAAAAGAAAGTGCACGTTTAACCAAAAAGTGAGGATACGACGTTTGGCCAGCAAGAGGCAAGCAATTTAATAGAGAGAACTTTGCATGCTTCATTTGATGTGATCAAGCTTTCTATGTGCCAGTTAAGCGATACGAAAAAGAAAGAAAATGCATACGTAGATGGAAAGAGCTCCTGCAGCTTCTAATAAATGAATCTTTTCTCGGTAAGGGTCTTGAAAGTAACTTTGAACCTTAATTTCGTGTCAAATCTCGAGCTTTCACGAGAAGATCAATTAAGACGCACGTGATGTAATTCAAAAAGAGTTCGATCCAAGAAGTGTATTTCGTCGCGGAAACCCAGAAGAAGATTGTAATGTGAGTTTATTTCTTTTGACAAATTGAAACGGTACGTATTTGAAACCACCTTTCTTAATTGATTTGATTAACATTTATAATGGCATAAAGTATATTATCATAATAAACAGTTTATGCTTGTGCGTAAATTGATAAATACAATCGATTCATTGAATTTAATAAAATTGAATCCAAAAATATAAACACTGTTTGGAATTCCAGTCATCTAGTCGTCGACAGACCAAGATGGTTGGATTAGACCATATCCACCATTTTACAGGTGGAAGAGTGTGAATAAGTGAGAGGTTAATGCTTCAATTCGGGCTATTTATTGAGTTTTTAATTATAAACATACAATTATGATTCTATGTTGGTGGTGAGAATCGTTGAGACTTTACCGTTCCTTTATGATTTTTTACGTGGAATTAGTGTGCACAGCAAGTAGACGTTGGAGGTTGTAAATCTCCAGGTCCTCTTGTTGTAGTGCACTTGGTGGAAATTACTACACTGAGAAGTGCAAGGGCGTAAATCTGTGACACTCCTTGCATAGTGCCACGTATGGTACTTTAGGTATGAGTCTCATCTTGATGACAATATATAATAATTCAATACCTCAGTGTATTTTGGCAATATCCTGTGTGTAGCACTTGTCGAGATACGGTGGGCATTGTCTTCTCAATTCGGAGTACAGCTCCGATTCTAATGACGTCTTACAGAAGACGTATCGCCTCGTCCGGAGATCAGCATTAGAAGACAGTAGTCTTGCAGTTAGGCGCGTCGCCTCATCCGGAGAACAGTAGTGAATATGGTGGCCCCTGGCAGTATAGCGCGTCTCTTCTTAGTTGACTCAAGCAAGAATGTTCTTTTGTAGCTCGTGTCCTTTCGTACACCTTCAGCCGTTCGCGGGAGCTTTACGATCGCATTGAGCCTATGCGGCTGGTGCAATCGTACCATCAGTGCCGTACGAGGCTATCGCGCTTAAATAGTTGTTAAATGTATTGGATTCATTGTTGGCTTACTAGCTTATTGTTGCAGAGTCTGGCTGAATTATGTACGTATATTTAGTAAAACTGACTGACTGGTATAAGGCGTGTAGAGTAATAACTGATAACTGATGGATTTACAAATTTAGAAATTTACAGTGAGCCTACAAGCCTGTTGAATACGAATAAAAGAAACTGAAGGCTTAGTCGTTCCAGGGCGGCTCTGTTGAGATATATCGACTATTACATGGTGGCCCTGCTAAGGCAGACCGTGGTCCGTGCCATGGTGTCTTTACTAAGAGAGTTCGGCTTGTTGTGTGCGTCCTTGAAATATGTGCACGGCAAATTACTTAGCTGGCAACAATAAATAGATGTTGCCATGCCGAAAATCTTGAATGACATCAGAGACTAAAGCTTTAGAACTTTCGAGAATTCTAGGAAAACAAGGCTCTACAAATTTTGTAAAATTCAAACGACGTTGGTATAGGAAACTAGATCAACATTACAGGACTACAGGACGTTCGCAAGCAAAGGCTTTAAAATGATCGAGAAATTTCGGAATCACTGTTTACGATTTCGCAAGCTAGAACGATCACAAATTTCGGAAAATTAATGTTCTTGGAATGTGCTCACATCCAGAACAAACACAAATATTTGAAAAAGTATTTGATATTTTATTGCATTTTTATTATTGCATAAATAAATAGAAAATTTGAAAAATATTTTATAAACTTTAAGACAGTAACATTATTTTCATACCCGTTGCCAATGAAAATGCGATTATTATTCGTATCGCAATATTTAGTATTTTATGTTTAGATTTCTTTTTCAAAATAAACTTTAAATAATATTTAATAAGATTATTTCTTGAAAAAATTCACTACTGTTTCTAAAATATTGTATTATTTATTAGCTACTGAATTGTAGTATTAATATTTAATTTGAATATTCGGTTATTTTTAATAATACAAATAATACAATATAAGATTCGCTAAAATTACTCTAAAAAAAAATTTATCTCTTCAAAGTTACATTAAATTCTACCAATTACGACTTCCACGGTTCCGTTGCAGCCTCATATCGGCCACATCGACTAATATGTCTCTATATAAACATTTATCGCCATCGGTACCCTACTGTTCATTTCGCCATTAAACGGGGCAACTTAATGAAAGTGGACTTTCTCGCGAGACAAACCTATTCTTTCTCCTCTGACCCTCTATGAATGTCCTTCCCGCCACTACCCTCGTTAATTAACGGAGAAATTGAGCGGATACGACAGATTACCCTGAAGGTCATGATGTATTTGACGTATCTTTGCCATTAATCTCTTTTTCTTCTCAATCGTCGGTCATATTTGCTATTTAATAACAATTTAAATTTGTACGAGTAAATAACTCGATTAGCGATGCAATATCCAATTGAATCACATCTTTCACTAAAGAACGAAAACATGTAAGTTATTCATTAAGGAATTGGAGACACAAATCATTGGAAATCTTTCATAAAAAAAAAACATTTTTTTTAATTTCTTGTTGATCATTCTGCTTTTTTCCCTACTTTCCTACATTTTGCATTTTCCTACATGTTCTCCCTTTCCCCTCGTGTTACGGTACTTCACTCTTGTTTTCAAAAAATTCTAATGCTTATTTTGTAATATTCAACCGGTCTAGTAGATTATGCGAAAATTCATCGCTTCGTTACAATAAAAATCAAGTACGATAATAAAAATAGTTTTTATGATTGATAATAATCATTTGATAACAATGTAAATAAATACGACTGTTAAAATTGATTTAAACTTAGATATAAATAAAAAACATAAAAACTTGGATATAAAATAGGAATTAAAAGACAAATGTTTGTTATTAACAATTATATTATTATAAGTACATAAGTACACAGGCACTATATCGGAAATACATGTATACAAAAATATTCTATTATTACACAGTACGTTAAAGAGGTTTCGGAGGTGGCAATATGTACATAGAGTAAAATATTATGTATAAAGCATTGACGCATCATGGAGGTTTTACATTAAGAGGTTTACATATAAGAAGTAGTCATGTTTCATGAATTAATCGTTGAATACATTTTATTATTATGTCATTCGTTGCAGGTGTGTCGATTACTACAAAACGATGATTCCATTTTTCTCTTTATTGTTCTCGCAGATTCTATCGTCGATAAATCAGTTATTGAATATAGCTTGATTATGACTCCCGTTATAAGTAGTATATTTTACACACATATATATATATAATATATAAATATATGTATATAATAATGCTCCTGTTAATAATACCAGTCCTCGGATATCATGCCCGCTTATTGCAATCATTATGATTTATAATACATTTTAGGAGTTAAACTCGGTTTATACGTTAAGCGTGTCTTCGCATTATTTTTCGTTTACCCTTCGAGTCTCAATGTTGGCGACGTTGCGCGGCCCCGTTATAAATAATCGTAATCAACACTCTTCAATTTAATTCTGTAGATAAAAGAAAAAACTTTTCTAAATAAATACGTTTAATAATGAAGCACAAAAATACGTTAATGTTAAATTATTATCGAATGAACTCGCGACGGAACCGGGTAACATGGCACACGACCCTCCTGGACATAGACTTAACAAACAAACAAACAACAACAATAATAATAATACAAAATAATAATACAAAATAATAATAATAATAATAATAATAATAATAATAATAATAATAATAATAATAATAATATACTTTCAAAGATAATCACGATTTCGTTAATGAAGTAGTAGATCTCTCTCGCTTACCGGGATATTGTCGCATTGCGTTTTTCGTTTTTCCTTCGTATCGAATAAATAGTTAATTTTTCTAATTTCTGTAGATTTAGAAATTGACATACGCATAAAGTCGAACATAAATTGACAATAAGAGAAAGAAATAGTCTTGGAAAGTTTTTTCATTGGCTACATTTTGGCACGTTAAATGACGCAAAACTTACAGCTCTTCCTTTCCCGCGCGAAAGGCAAAATCGTGCGAATTTTCCACACATGTGGCACGATGATCAAGTATTCCGCTATTCACATATTACAGTCGAACAGATGAATCAATTCAGATGAAAATCACATCGCATGTGCAGACATTTCCTCGATTAGCAGCACCTGAGATACCAAATTTCGAGAGATTCTCGAAAATCTTCCGACAGTTGACAACAAATAACGAAGCTAATCGCAGCTCATATATATTTGTCTCTCTTTACAAAGAATCGAAATTTGACTCCCTGTCACTGCTTGTCTGAAATTAAAAGATTTTTCGGGCATTAATTGCAATGTAGCTTTAAAGAAATTAATTTAATATCTTTAAAATTAATTTTCTCATAATTTGTTTACAAGCAAATTTCAATGAAATAAAGTAAACATAGCTGAGAATGAACATTTGATAGGTCAAGGTGAAACTTATTTTTCTTATACAACGACATAATGCAATCTTACAGTACAAAAGTAATAAATTGATGAGTAAATGCGCGGAGCCTTCATTAACCATAAAAGCGCACAACACGTGTTTTATGGTACAGTAAAACTTCAAGTTTACAAAGCGTTATCCCGAATAAAAAGATAAAGATAAATCAGGTAAGTAAATCGTATAATAAATCAAATACATATGTACAAATGTATGTACCCTGTCTTGATTATAAAGAGGTGCGTGCTGGGCAGGAAGTCGTAAGGTGCTGCCAAGATCTCTCTCGGCCATAGTATGGCCTTCACTTGCACTATCCCTGGCGTCTCTGTTACAGTCTTTACGATCGGCGATCTTTGTGGATGCTTGAATGGTAGTCTCACCACATGATCTAGCCAATGTTGAGCCAGCCTCATTAAGGTCTAATCGCAGCAACTGTTTTGTCGAAGGCTGTATCGTTGCTTCAGTGCACGAGCGTACCAAGGTTGAGTCGGTTTCCTGAGAAAAGTCTGAATTTCGGATAACTTTAGTTGATGGTTCGACCGTTGTCTCACCACAGGACCGAGCGAGTGTTGATTCTGCGTCTATTGTTCTCGTCACCGTTGCGGACACCTATTTGTTTCCATAAGTATATTCAAAATTAAGTATAAACGAATATTGACTTTAAAACACTTGGGACTTACTTGAAACCCAGCACTCACGAGTGCTCCCGATGGAGGCGTAAAATGAGGATGTTGTTTTGAAATCCTGTTTTCTGACTCTTTGTAATCGGAATTACTGATGAGACTAGGTTTTCGATTCCCTGGATGAGCGCCACCATCGAGATAATCTATTAATTTGTGCTCATCGACGGCAAATGTACTCATGGGCTTATAATTTTGTGTGGTACATTGAGGTGCCGAGCGATATTTTGCTCGGGGGATCATCACTGTTAATGATCTATCACACTGTTCATTGGATGGGCAGCTATTATTAGTCAACACTAAAAATATGAATAATAATATTATTCGATGATTAAACGTTTTCTTCTCCTTTTTATACAGATCAGATTTTATCACGTATTTTCTTTTAAATAAGTAATAATGTCAAAGGTATTATTGATCTATAAATGTCGGTATTATTCATTTAATACGATCGATGATCGATTGTTGTTAGAATTATAAAAAAAAATTTAAATTAAAATTAAAAAACTCTTAGAGAAAATATGCACTTTCTATGAAAACAATAAATTTAGAAGATTATGAAAAAATAATTCAGTCTTTTTTTTCAGAAAGTCGAGATACTTTGATAAAATAATGTATTATTGTAATTTTATTTTATTTCGTAATATTTCATGTAATATATATAGTAAAAAAAATTATAATAATTGATATATAAATTTATAGATGTTAAACCTTGCGTAATAATAGATGTTGGTTTTCTGGGCGCACGACGTGGTTTTCCTGTAATTTTTTTAACCGACTTTTTTATTGGCGGCGCTGGTGCCATCATTTGAGGAGGTGGTGGTAATACATGAGGTACGTGGTGAGGGATAGCGAGCTCTGTGACACTACCCTCGCTACTTGTATCACCTCCCGTTCCAGAAATCATTGCTCGTCGATCGATGGATATATGCCTTCGATTTGGATTTCGGAAGCAAGCCATTCCCATGCAAACCGCCAACAGACCCAGAAGAATTGCTCCAGTCGTTACGAGTGCAATGAGCAAAACTATAATTAATACACAATTTTAAACAGATTTTTTACATAATTCGTTTATTATGAAATAATTATTAAAGAACGCGTTGGTAAGTTAACCTTTTAAATTGACTTGACATTTTTGGCCGCTATGCCAGGGGAAGCATTCGCAAACTTCTTGTCCATGGGATGTAATTACACAGTGACCTTTATTGTTACATGCAGCACATCCCAATGGGGCCTGAGAACAAATCCTTCCAGGATAGGCAGAATTCTCGGATAAATCCGCCCATCCTTCTTTACACGAGCATTGATAGGATCCCTTATGATTGAAGCAAGCAGCGTTTGGAGAACAATCATGATAAGGTCCACCATTTTCCGTAGTACATTCATCAAAATCATTTGCGTCAACCTGTCAATTATATTTGTTTATGAATTTTATAAAAATGTTAATAACGATTTTGGGCAAATTAAAGATGGTGAAATGAACGTTCAACGTACTAGTCCAAGATCTTTCGCAGCATACACATCGGTGCCGCCTAAACTATAGTTACTCAGAACTAAATATTTACGAATAACTTCCTTTAACCTCGTCTCATCTGTATTTGAACTGAGTTGAACGTTAAATATAACTCTTGTTGGATTTGGCGTAAATTTAGCTATATTTAAACCTCGATAAATGTCTCTAAGATCACTTTGCATTAATGTGCGATCAAGCGCTTCTTTGATGGGATGTGCATAGCGCCTAAAAGCAACGGAATTTGTATCATTCATGACTGCATCATAAACGAAATGTTCTCGTCCAAATCTATCCAAGCCCACACCAACGGTATAAGTATACGTTGCTAAAACACATATTACAATGAGCATAGGGAATGAAATTGCCTAATATTATAACTGAATAATATAAATAGTGTACGCTTACGTTTGCAAGGACGATCGGGGAACATTCGTGCAAAGCCACGTCTACAAACACATCGCATTTCACCGGTCGATTCAGCACACATTTCGGATTTCGAAGCTTTGCATTCTGGTACGCAATGTATCTTTGGAGGTCTAATTGGAATCGAAGGCGCCCCTAATATACCACCCGATAGTACACGATGAATTTCATTGGTACTTATGTCCTGCTCGTCTCGTGAAATGTCTTCTTCGCCATATTCCGCTTCAACCTTTATATATAACGTGATACAATTGAATTAATAATACACATTGAACAAGATTTATGAAGGGAGTCACTTCTAATCTAATTCTAATAACGACCTATATGTAGATGTACGGTTTTTATACTTCGTATTATTAATTATATATGGGCTTATCGATAAAACGAGTATTTTAATCGACGTTTAGCTGCCCATGATACACAAAAGAATCAGGTATTAAAATTATAAAATTATATATTATACTTTAATCAATTTAAAGTAATATCTCAAATAGTTTCATGTATGGCAACAAATGTTACGCGTCCCGTTCTATAATAATTTGTATAACGTTTTTACTAATGTTTACAATAATATCATAACAATGCATTCGCAGCTTATTTGGACTATTTTCATATATATCCATTCAAAAACATATAATTTAATTAATTTTACAATCACATTAATAAATTAACGTATTGGTTTATTGAATAATATAAATAATATACGCTAGAGTTATTTATTATAATAAAATACTAATAAAATACGCTAGTGTTTTTTATTATTTAAATTATAATCGAAGCCTAAATTAAAAATATAATTCGCATTTATCTTTGCAAATTGTATTGCAATTAAAAATATTTTAACCTAATCAGTGAAAGGATTTTTATTTCATAAAAATTGGAAATGTGGAATTACATTATTTCTTGGTGCGCTAAAAATTCTATGAAGCGTAAAAATTATAAATGATGCGATTGCTATATTACGAAATATTACGATATTATGGTTACCTCCTCGGCTCCTGGGGCAGGAGGTTTTTGATCACTCATTACGACAAATATTGATTCGTTATCGTTTTCATTTTTATAAGCTGGTGATACATGTGCAACAGATTGAAGTATCGTCGAAGTAATTGTTGAAAATACACTTGTTGGCCGTAATAGAGTTTCGGTTATAGTTTCAATTCTTGTCGAGGCTAAAGTGTGCGTAACTAATAAAGTGCGTATTGTAGGAGGTGAACCTAGAACCGAGGTCTCTGTTCTTGTAACAGTTAACGTCTCGAACCGCGTCACCTGCACGTTTATATATTTATGTATTAGTTATTTCATTGATATATTAATATTCATTTTTTTTTTTTTTTATGGAATCTCATGCCATTGAAGTAAATTTCATCGTTAAAATACATTACCTCGTCTGGTATTTCCTCCACTCTTTCATTCGTAGAATTTTGAATAAATTCGTGAACTACTGTTCCAATGATTTCCATAATTTTGGATGCTGATTCTTTTATTTTTAAATCCGATTTTATATTTTGCGTACTTTGAATGTTGCTTTTAATTATGTCTTGCGTTGAAGCTTTACGATTAAAAGACTTTGTTGTGATTTCTATTTCAGTAGCTCTTTGGTGTGTTTTCTTATTATTAATCTTATCGGTAGATAATGAAACGGTAGGCTCTACCCTAATCGATGGCAAATGAATATCAGTACTGGGTTCTAACGTAATCGAAAATTCAGACTGTTTATTTTGTTTGTTCGAAGTGTGAGATGGTAGCAGTCTAGTCGGGGCAAATTTCTTATGATTAGGAGAATTTTGTTGCTCATTGATAATTTGAGATAGTTTGACTGATGTTGGACTTGCAAATGAAACAGATGGTTTAATAGTAGCTCTACAAATAATTAAATTTATGTATAAACATTAAAAATATTTGATAATCCAAGATATCAACATTTTCGTATTAAATATTTACCTTTGTCTAGTTTCAAATGGTCGTACTGTATAAACGCTAACGTGATCCGATTTCTTTATATCGATAGGCTTAAGAAATTCTGGAACATCCACGACCACTGGTAAATCCACAGTACCATGAACGATTGGAATTTTCGCTTCAATATCTTGTATCATCGGAATATGAGACGTTGCGACAGCAGTAGCAATTTGAATCGAGCCTGATACTGCCACTCCTGGTAGAACAGTAGCTATTTCATGAGCTCTGGTCGTTTTGATATCCGGAGAAGATGAAACCATATCCTAAACAAATAAATATATTTCAATTGTTTTAATGTTTATTGTCTTTTATATTGAGTAAATTCTAATAATATTTATATTCAATACTTCTGAAAGAATGTCGGCTAAATATGGTCGAACTACCGATGGCCTTGGATTAGGAGGAACCATACTCACACTTGGCAAAGGAGGCGTTACGCTAGATTCTTTTAAAGGAATGTATAATGGGGGAGGTTTCAAACCCGATACATCTGGTGTTGTTTTCTTAGGGTTCTCAAGGGGCCTGTTTGTTGTTGTTATATCAACTGGTGGTGGTGAAAGTCCAAGAACAACATTAGGCGATGGTGGTGGTTTTAATATTTCATCCATTACTTGATTTTTTATAATTTCCATGTTATTGTCAATTGAAGAAATGGGTGGCGGAATCATATCCTCGAATACTTTTGTCTTTGGAGTTGTTTGTTGAAATTCTACGCGCGACGCGTCTACTTTGATATCTTTATCGTTATTTTGGTCATTTTTAAAATTTTCATTTGCAAAAGTAGTTTGAAAAGCGGAAGAAAGTGATTCTTGCTTAGATTTTTGATTATTCGTATCGGCATCTATACTAGGTGGCCGTTCTGTTTGTGTCTTGCTCTCATTTTCTTCGCCAGTTGAGTCAATTGGCAATGAAAATTGTACGGGTCTTCTATAGTTAATACTTTGTTTTTTAATATTGCCACTAGAAATAACTATCGGTCCCGGTAGTTTTGGCTTGGATTTTGTAATGATTTGTGGATGATCCGGATGTATACGTGTTGCATAATCAGGTCGTGGTCGTCCACGATAAGGATATAAAAGTGATTCGTTTCTATGATTTTCGAAATTATTTTCAATTTCATTTTTTTCCGTTTGAACGTGAAGTACCTGCCCTAAACCTGGTCGCATATGTCCTGTAAAAACATTATGATTTGAATCTGAATTTTCCGTAATAATTTCCGGTTTATTTTTAGAATCCGATGCAAACATATGAAGCTTAGTATATGGACGACTATGACCGTTTGGCTCAAATACTGGAATTATTTCTGGAGGTTTAAGGTCTATTATATCGTGCAAATGAGGAAGATTATGCTTCGCGTCACTCGTATCACTAATATATACATGTTGTTGATCATTTGTATTTTGAATTTTATTTAAAGCAGAATAAGATAAATACTGATCTTGTTTCTTTTCGCTCCCGATAATTATATCTCCATCTCCACTTTCACCTATTTTAACGTTATAGCTACTATTTTGTAATGGATTTGTCGTTACTGCAATCTGATCATCGTTAATGCTCATATTATTAATAAAATATTTATTAGCATCAAACTTTGTAGTTGATTCATAATTATTAAATTGTGAACTATTAAACAGATTTTCATTTTTATTTTTTTGAGGTTTTGAGGTTACTTTTACATTTTCCGATGCATCAACTTCTGAATCAATTGTCTTATCGATATCTAATGAAATATCAACATTTTCATTATCCAACAATGGATTATTTTCATTAAGTTCTGTAGTCGAAAAATGATCTTCCATTACGTAATCATTATTATTTTGTGTAGAGTAATTTTGTTTCTCTTGCATACTAATGTTGTCATAATTGTTATAATAATAATGAGGTGCTTTATTTTTAAAGTTAGCCTGAAAACGAGAATGTATTATTAATTGTAATCTTACTACTCATAAATACAATTATAAAAAAATTTTAATTCAATCAATTCTACCTGTTCTTGAACTTCAGATGCGTGCATTTGTTGAATTGAATCGATCGATAGAGAAGTTGGCATTGATAATTGTTGATTATTATTATTAAATTCATTTTGGTAATAAGTATTCGATGGTGATTTATGTGAATGAACAAATTGTGGTTGTCTAATCGGACTTAACGGTCTCATCGGTCTACCATAAGAATGATCCGTTATTCTAATTGGAATTCGGGGTCTATTTGTCGGTCTTGGCCATCTTGTTTGGGAATTTCGTAATGGTTTCTTTTCGTTCTTCCAATTTGTTTTTAAACCGGAAATATGTGTTGAATCGTAATACGAATTTTCCACTGATAGTGGCATTTCAGTTCTTCTGGGTGGAATTTGTTCCGCTGGAATATGAAGTTTTGTAAATTCCCTTTTTGGCGGAGTTTGCATGTTTTGATGAATTCGGGTAGGAATTGTGGGACGAGTTTGAGGCCTTAAATATCCACTGTCTACACCATGTTGAACAAGTATTTCACTATGAACAGGACTTTGTCCAGTGGATAAATTCAAATTTGCATATTGCCGGAATGGTATTTTATCTGGTCTTAATTTTATACCAGCTTCTTTAAAATCAGAAGCTTGTGCAAATGCAATGGCATGAAGCCGAGTATTTGTATCGGAATTTTGATATGGTTTAAGATTAACTGGCGGTGATGGTGGCGTCATATAATCTAAAGGATTCGCATTTTTAGAGTATTGTGAAAAATTTTCAATCTAAAATAAAAAATTGTTATTCAGTATAATGTTAATATTGTAGTAAAGTATAATATATATATATATATATATATATATATATATTACAGCAAGTATTCAATTTTTTTTAATTTACAAATATCAGAAATATACCTTGTTAATTCCAACGAATCCAGGGCCAATTTCAGGTTCGGGATAAGGCGAAGGATCATCGAAATATTGTCCTGTAATATGTGGCTCACTAGTATCCCCAAAAATTAGTGCTTGTGTTCCTCCCTGAGGAATAACAACATTTGCAACTTGACTAGGTTGAATATTAACTAAAAGTGGTTGCCCCGTTGATCTATCAATTACATGAGGTACTTGATGAACAATAGGTTCAGAGATGTGTTGTTTTTTACTTGTATCATCAACGCTATCTATATGTTCTTGCAGGGGATATTTTGGTCGATACTTTTCATCAATTAGGATATTCGAAGTAGGAAGGTGATCCTTCGGATTCCATGGATGTTTACCCTTCTCTTGATTATCAACTTTTAAATCAGTATTTATATTTGTAGATATAACAGGTGGCAATAATAAGGGATCGTTTTCTAAAATATCTTTTTTGGAACTAATTGTTTTAGGAGGTGGATTTAAGAAAACTTTATGCAAATTTTGTGGTCTCTTTGATACTGCAAATTGATTTAGAATAACAGGTAGTTTAATATGCTCTTCGTAAATTTGTTGAGCAGGTAGAATTTCTAATTGCTGCGGACCATTTTGAATATTGATCGAATTTTTCGACGGTTCCTTTTCAATAACTTCTAAAACTGGATGCACAGGTATATTAGGCACTGGTACTGGAGGAGGTTTCATGCCTATACTTTCATCATTTAAAAATGTCTGAGGTGGCCTAGGGCCCATTTTTCCTGGTTTACCAATAATAACGTCGCTATTTGCTGTAATTACTTCCCCAGGAGATATTGGTATTCCATCTGCTAAATTGGAAGTTACTTTGTGCCTTTGTTCAGGAACATGATTACCATTTGTTAACTGAAGTGCTAAAAGGAAATATTAAAAATAATATTTAATATATTTGTATCACTAGCATTTTTAAAGATAAATCAATAAATCTTATTCTAAATTAATATTTCATATATAAGAAATATAAGAATTCAATATAAATAATTGATTAAATACAATAGAAAAAAATATATAAAATTGTAAAAATTATTATTATTCAAAACAGAGTTTGATTAAATTTAGTAATTTAATTTAGTTTAATTTGGTAATTCTTATATAAATAAAACTGTTTAAGCCAATGTGTTTACAAACATTAATTAATCTTGCTATTGAATAAACATAATTATGATTTAATCAATGGAAACATTTTTAAGATATTTTAATAAAAATTAAAAATAATATTAAAATTCTTAATTGAAAAATTATCATTTCAAGAATCTATACTATTATTTAATAAAATTGATAGATGCTTTATAAAATTCATTAGAAATAATGTAACTTTGAATTAGATAATATTGTACTGAATCTAGTATTTAACTCCACTTGAAGAAAAGAAATTGATATACAACATTAGGAGTAATCCAATCAAACATTTATTTATTATTACAACAAATTTTTACCAATATTTTGACTTTCAGCGGCTTCAATGTCTCCATCAACAAATTCAGCAACAGGAATATAAATTGGTGATCTTTGCGTTGTTGTTACTGGAGATTCTGTTACTAGCTCTGTATCATTTCTGCGCGTTGCAGAGGATTTTCCTTGCAGTAAACCAGCCATGGCTGTGATGACTGGACCCAGAGCTGATAAACTATTTATTCCCAAGGAGCCTAAACTCAACAAATTACTTACTTGTGAGGGCTTTTTATTTAAAGGAGGCTCTGTATATTCTTCCGCTGCTTCATCCTAATTTAAAAATTAATGATTAATTTCATTTAAATATAATTATACGTCAAAACTAATAAAGCGCCGAATAAATATATCGAATAAATAGTTTTATCTTTCACTTGCCTCATTATAAGAATTATCTGATTCAATTGGCCGTGTAGTAACATCATTTGTTTCAGATACCACGGAGTCTATAATTGAAGGTATTGATGAATTTTCATATTTTTCTACTTTATCCATAGGTGTAGCTGTAGTTGTATCGAATGCATTTGTTGCGGTCGGAGTTACTTGTTCATCGTCATCAAAAAAGATAATCGTGGACCCAGTAACTACGTTTTTCAATGAATCAGAATGATGGGAAGATGTGAGTAATGCATTCATGTATCCCGCATCTAATAAACTAGGTGCAATAGATTCTGTAACCACGTTTTCAACAATTCGCGATCGCGATGAAATTGCGGTTGAAGTTTCACCATCTGCTCCTGCCTTTAGGTAAAATTAGAAATATTTATATAATCTTAAGAACTATTATATTTTTATTTATTTTTTTTTTTTTTGCGGTATTTTGGAAGTATTGAGTTTAAATATTTTACCTGCAAAAGCGTTGTAAAATAAGTATATGTAGTTAAATATGTTTTTGTCGCAAAAATCTGAATGGGCTCTGGGGTTGAACTGCTTGGTATCGATTTAGTGACTGTTTTTATTAAAGGAGCTTTTTCATATACAATATCCGATGAAGTTGCAATGTTTGTTTTCACTACAGTGTTATCATTTTCTAAATAAGTATTGTAGTACGTATAAGTAATGTAGTACGTTTTAGCAATATCTGTAGTCAGATTAGTATCTTCTTCTAATGTTGCTGGTGCCGGTGTAGTATTTATAGAGCGCAGAGGTTGTGCAGTTTCTGTTATTATTAACTAAAACCAAAATTGTTTTGAGTCACACAAAATTAATAATCATTCAATATTACTGATTTACCTGAGTAAATACATCATTCGACATTCCAACTTTAGTTTTACCATCTTCAACGTATGTTTTTTCGAGGACTCGTGTACTGAAATAAGTATTTGTTTCCGGACTTTGAACTTCGGATGGTTCAAGAATCATATCAAGATAATATTGTGGCGCAGTAACTGTATTAGCAATTACTTTCACACTACTTCCTAAAGCATTTCTTTCATTTGGATGATCAGTATTTAAAGTCAAATAAGTATAGGTGGTTTTAAAAACTTCAGTTTGCAATGTTGGTGATGCTTCTAGTGTGACAGACGCGGCTTCGGAAGCTGGTTTTCTATGTCTTTCTTCTGTTGCAGTATTAGCAATTACCTAAAAATAGATTGATTTATAAGGCAATTTAGAAATAATCAATTATTTTAAAATACTGAAATTACTTCTTATAACATTTATTCGGATGTTATATGCCACAGTTTATTATCTATATAATTAAAAAATTTATAAACGTCTTATACTTGAGTATTTAACAAATTGTTGTCATAAAAATTTTTTTGATGATTAATGGCAATTAAAATACCTGCTGATCAGTTGATACAATCATAGTTCCATCACGAGTGATAGTATTGAGGTAGGTGAAGGTTGTCATGCAAATCTTTGTGACGAATTCGTTTAATTTATCTTGCGGTAAAAGCATAACAACTGCTTCAGAGAGTGTTAAAGTAGGTTGTGGATTTGAATTTTCCCACCTATATGCAGGTGTTGTGCCAGCAACAATAACCTCGACTCCATTTGACATTACTCTTGTTGCAAGATTAAATCTTCTTCCTTCATCCTCTGTTTGCTCGTAGTTTCTTGAAACTTCTACGTCGATTTAAAAATACAAATATACAATTATAATTTTTTATCCAAGTTTTCAATTAATTCCTAGCAATTTAACAATTTCAAAATTTAACAATAATTGAATCTGTATGTAATACCGATATTTAGTAAATTATAATTTCTACGGCATATTTTAACTTATATGTTCCGATAAAAAGATTTTTGTACCAAATAAATTAATTCATATAATTTAATATAAAAATTTTTTCTTATTTTATTTTATAGATTTTATTTTAAATTAATCAAAATTATAATAAGCATTTAACAGTATTTGTGTAGATAATTTTACTGGTCGTGATATTAAATTAAATTTAAAATTACTTTTCGATATGATTCTGTGAAGTATGAAGTTCAAATAAATAGTCAATGTATTAATAATTATTTGACTTTTAAAAAATAATTATAAATGAAATGAAATTTCTTTTTTTAAATGGTATTGACTTTAAAGTCTTTTTTAACATTAATGATATCAACAATTTAATTAATAAATATAAATTGCTAATAAAATTGCTATATATATGTACATTAAAATTTAATAAATTATTAAATTTTAAAATCTGAAAAAGAAATTAAATTTGAAATTTTTTTACAAAATAAATTAGCTGTATAGAAGCTAATATCATATTTATAGTTTTAGATATTTTACGATAAATAAATAGAATTTGTATATAGAAAAATATTTGCAACAAAGATATATACATAAAGTAATGAGTAGAATATTTAAATATTTACATGATATACAAAAAGAGACATTTTTACAATCTTTTATAAAAAAAAATTTTTAATAAATATTTTACATAAAAGAAACCAAAAGCCAATTACGGAAATTGAAATATTTTGTAATGGGTTCAGAAAGTTTTATTACTATGGTTACAGAGATACTTACCCCAAGAAGAATTAAATGCGACTGGTGACGAAATCATTGTCGGTGTTACTGTCACCGTCACAGGAACTGTCAGTGTTAAGCTTGTTACTCTTGGTCTTACGGTTGTTGATGATTTAACTTCAGTATTTTGTCCATTCAGTTTAGTTACGACATACGTATAGGTTCTTAATCGCGTAGATGCTACTATTGTTTCAGAATAGTAAACACTCGTTTGAAGCTCTGGAGTATTTTTATTTAATTCTGATATTAATATATTGTTGGTATTCGATTCCACTTTTGAAGGGATGATTTGTGGAAAATCGGGACGCGATAATGATAAATAAAGATCATCTGTCAAACCAGCTTCGATGTCTTCTGGCGTTAAGGGAGGCAGTGACGTTGTTATTTGTAAATCTGACGTTGAAGTTGGTCTGATTTTTATTTCAGATAATTCTTTATTAAACGAGGATACTATTTTTAGAGGAATAACCGATGGTATTTCACTATTTAGTAAATCCTGTTTAGGTTCGAGTAGATTATTTGTAGTAGATGGCACTGCAAGCTCTAGTGTTACATTAGGGCTTATGGTAGCCATATTGTTTAAATCCACTGTGATAGGTAAAATGTTTAAACGACCATCACTATTATTTGTATTTGCTTCGATCATTTTTGAAATTATTGGTATTGTATTTATTGTCAAATTAAATTCGATTTTTGTCATTTCATTCGTTCGATTTATATTGTCAATGTCATTGTCGATTAAAGGTTTCTCAGTATTTTCTTCATTTTCCTGTGATGTCGTAAAATTATTATCTTGAAAAGAAGATAATGTTGTGTCTATTTCATCCATTGTGTTAGTTGTTGTTTCAATTTCTTTTTCTGTATTGTCGTTTCTCATAGGAACATGACTTATATTTTCCATTTGTAATTGATTAACAGTTGTTTCGTCTATAAATTCACTCATTATCGTAGTCGTTTCTTCGTTTAATTCATTCTTATTAGCATTAGTGGTAGTTTCTTCAAAAATTGGAGGGAAGAAAAAATTGTCAGTGATAATAATTGGATCACTGGTTGAGCTTGGTGTATCTGAATTTAATGTTTTTGCTTCCGTCGTTGATATGGATATCGGACTATTTTCTGTAAATGGCAATGTGTATAAATTTGGCGTTGGTATTTTGCTATCATCGTTTTCATAATAATCTTCATCGTCTTCGATAGAGGGAATTGTATAGAATCCAGTAGTTATAATTTCCAATGACGATACTGGCTCTGGAACTGGTCTAACGGTTACTAATTTTTTACGAGTTACTCTTTCTCGATGACTCGTAGGAATTATCGTAGCAGGCTGAATTTTCCTTCTACGTGTCACAGTCACTTTATGCCTGTTAGTGTTTGTGTAAAGATCGTTAGAAATATCGTTACTTAAGCTATTTCCCACATCGATTGAATCAGAATTTCTTAATCTTGTTCGTGTTATAATTCTTCTAGGCGTTGGTGAAAAAATATTTTCACTTGATTGAGAGGATCGTGATCTAGTATATGGAACTAGTGGGCGACGACGTACAACCGTTAGTGCATGATCTCTAGCACTTCTAGATCGAACAACTGGTACTCTGATGCGAAATCGTTTTTTGGAAGTATATTTATCATCTTCTGCGCTATAATAATCAAGCTCGTCTGTTTTCTTTCCAAAATCTTCAAGGCCTTCTGTAAAAGTAGTAACATCAATTGTACCTTGAAGAAAATAACGTAAACGGCCACGTTCTTTACTTTTTTTGCCTTATCGATGATTATTTTATTACTCGTTGACCATCGTTTCTGGTTACATACTTAATACATTTCTAGCAAAGTTTTATTCTTTGGAGTAATTTTCAGCGTATGGGCGCGCGTGCGGCTTTTTTCCGAAGACTTGTTAGTTGGAATATATGGAAAATAATATGTGGAAGGAAGTTTAAATGAGGAAAACATAAACAGAACTGTAAAGATAACCTTAGATTTTGAAATCATCGCTTCATTTGACCTTTGCGAGAGAATCTTGATAAAAAATATACTGGTTAAGACTAGCACCCGAAACTCCGAGACTTGATTAGTCAAGTATTAATATTAACGTTATCATTAAAATAATTCTAAAAAATTAACTTTATAAATAAAGATTGATCGTTCATCTAAAACTTATGTAAGTAAATTCACAACTGTCGTGTTGGTATTATCAAAGTTGAAAAATTCTTAAAAGAAAACTTAAACTAGTGCTGTATGATATGAAAATAGTTAGATCCAACTTATATTTAGGTCGTTTTCGGGTTTTTAAAATTTATTAAGATAGAAATCTACAAAGACTGCATAATCAAGGTGGCATTGAGGAATTAGTGTGGAGATTTGGCGTGGTTAGGTTTAAATGGACGTGGAAATATGCCGTCCGACATCGCCCACTACGCTCTCGAGACTTTGAGTAGGTGCGTGCGCATCGATCGGCTCTTCACTTCCTGCCAAAGTGTATGCAGCAGGTTCAGAGGCTGATTGTAACGATGGGGAAAGGGATGCATCAACAGTCGCTTCATTTATATGTCTTTTAATTTTTGTACTTGTAGATTCCTCGCCAATTTTAAAAGTACTCAGTACAGTACTAAATTCACCTGGTCTACGCCCTGATATATATAAAGTTACAACATTGATTTCAGGGGTCTCTTTTTCATTCATTTTTACGGTATTTGATTTTCCTCTTGGTTTCGACGTTTTATCAATATCTTCGTCCGATAAATCTTCGTAACTCTCTGGTTTATAATCGAAATCAACAGGCTGATTTCTTCTTTCAAATTCTCCAGGTAATGTATTACTCTGAGTTAATAATGGTGCAACAGCAAATAACGGATCCAATAAGGGGTTTGATTGTTGTGGAGTTTGTGGCTGCTGGAGAAGGAGAAGGAGCGAATTGAGGTTTGCCGCGGGCAAAGCAATGGTAGGTGTGACAATAACGGTGTCGGTGATAAGTTCAGTAGCAGTGACAATATCGGTCGACGAATCGATAAGTGTTGTTAAAATTTCTTTACCACGAAAAGTTAAAGGAATAACGGTACTTTGATTTTTCGTAATAGTGGTAAGATATGTGGTCGCGCGTGTATCATATCTCGTTGATTGAGTAACAGTATGCGCAGACACACCTGATGCTAATGGATTCTGCTGTCCAAATTGTCCAAGCAACAATTGTGAAAGTAAAATATTTGCTAATGGTGAGTTATCTGATATGGAAGGCCTTATAGTGGAGACAACATTTTCAATGGAATATATGGTTGATGGAACTATAACAGGTTGCGAAAATCTACGAGCACCTGACGATGTTAACATATGAGAAACCTTAGTCGTTGGGGTTTCGTGTATAACAAAGCGAGTAATTTCTATTTGGCCTTGGAAATTTGTACCTGTTATCTCACTAGCTAATACGACAATATCACGGCCATCATTATTTATTATTGTACTGTAACGATCGGGACCGATGATTTCCGTACTCGCTTGGGCTGTTATAATATTTCTCTTTTCCGTAACACCGTTATTAACAACGGGAATAGTCACTTCGGTTGGAACATAATGTGTAACTGTTATAGTTCTATCAAAATCATTAAAATCACGATAATCTTCATGAGAACTTATCCGTCCTCGCGATGGTACTACTCGGCGATTAGCTGTGCGACCTCCATTTCTCGATGAAATCCTAGTCGATGTTCGACGTGAATTTGTTGTATCTTGATATCTGTTATTTCCTGTTCTGGATCTTGAATTATTTCTCATTCTTAAATTTGAATTTCGCGATGAAGAAGATACTGGCCTTTTATAATTTGTCTTTATTGAAGATGTACTTTCTTTATCCCTCAAAGTGAACTGTCTATTAGGCGAGCTCGCGACTGTGGGTTTAATTCGCAGAGTGTTTCTATTAGAACCAGGTTTGGATCTTAATCTCGATTGCGTTGTGAGAGAAGTGTCAATGTACTCCTCTGACGATTTATCTTCTTTATTTCCATTCAAATTCGATCGAGAACTACTACTTATCGATCTCCCACGATTTCCATATCTGTAATTATTAATTGGTACTTTTGAAACATCTTCTTTACTTGAACTCATCTCTATATCTATTCGGTCTTCGATGCTAGATATTTGAGCTGTAGGCCTTCGAAAGCGAGAATTTAATATACGAGTCTGTCGTCGCACTCTCCTGCTTCGTCCAATCTTAGTAAACGGCCTGATTTGGGCTCCAAATTTTGTGCTATTCAATGTGATGGATTTCTGATTAGTTGACGGAGCTATTTCTTTTTGTTCGGATCCTTCGTAATCGTTATCCACAATCTCTACAACAGGCTTGTCTTCGAAATTTTCTTGTTCTTCATCTCCTTCATCTTCGTCTTCAATAATTTCACCTTTACTTTCTACTGGAGTTTCTGTAGTATCTGGTTTTCTTCCAAATAGACTTCTTGGAGGAAATAGACTAGATTGACCTTGGCGTGATCTTGTAGTTAACGTAGTAATTGCGGGTCTTGATCTATTATTTATTGCACGATTTCCTACATTTTGCCTTGATAAGCTATTTGCTCGTTTTGGTGTAGTAGTAATTACATTTGTTTTCGGAGTCGTTGTTCTAATTCCGCTACCAAATGCAGGTGGCCTTCTAAATCTTAAGAGAGGATTACTAACTTTCTTAGATAATTCTGTTGTTGTTTGAATATTTGGAAAAATCGTTTCGCCTTCGTCACTCTCTTCAATCACTGGTATCTCCTCCGTAACTAAAGTGTCAGTTGTAAATTCATTCGCGTTATCTTCTTGATCATCTTGTTTTATTGTAGGCGATATTTTTGAAAGCGTAGAGGATGGACGAATTCCTGGTCTAAATCTTGTTGACGAAGGGGATAGAACCGATGAACTAGCACGACTTGTTGGTCTTGCCGACGATCCTCTAATTAATGTGGATCCTCGTCGACTTCCAGAATATATAGAAGATGTGGTTGCTCGAATAAGCCCCCTACTTCTCGAATTGACGGAAGGATAGTTTGTAGCAAATGTACTCGCCGATACAAGGGAACTTCTTCTGCCAGAAAAGCGTCTAGAACTCGATGAATTAATCGTTGGCGAGCCTACCGAAGATATTGCTCGTCCCCTAGATGATGCAAATCGACTACCCTTCCCTGCTAAAGTCGCCGTTATTGTCGGAGTTATATCACTTCTTGTTATAGTAGTTGCTCCTTGTGGTTTTCTTTTTGGATTAAATGTCGGCCTGCTTCGAGATGCAAATGGTCTAATTGGAGGTGCACTAGAAGTTCTCTTTCTCGATGAAAATGTTAAACGTGATTTTTTCTTCAACTTTTGATCGTCCTCTTCATCTTCATTTTCATTTTCTTCCGGCTCAGAGTCGTTATTTAAGACATCAACAGTATGATCCTCGGAGATCGATGACTGAACCACTGCAGGGAATGGTGATATTTCTGGAATGGCCGTTGCATAGTTAGGAGGCTGTGTTGATGATGCCGCTATGTTTAAGGTTGATGAAGGTTGGGCAAATAGATAGCTAGATGTGCTTTCAATTATTTGAGCATATCTTCCATCTATACTAGTTCCAATTACTCTTGATTGATAATACGTTGTAGTGTCATTAGCTTCGATCGAACCCTTAATTAATCTTACTAGCCCAGTTCGATGGCCATGAACTGGTATACGCGTCGCTAATTTTTCTTCGTTAATTTTTGTTATCGACGTACTTTCAATAACTTTTGCATAAAGATCATTGATCGAAGTGCCGATTTGCTTTGTTGTATAATATATTGTGCTAATTTCATCAGCATCTATAATAGTCCCTTTATTTAGTGATAATATACCAGTGGGTAATACTGATGTAATGGATGGCGTATGTACTGGTGTACGTAATTCAATTTTCGACGAAGTTTCAACTACTTGAGCATAAAGACCGTCTATGTATGTACCATAAATATCAGTCATAAAGTGCGTAGTTGTGCCTGCGTTGACTTCACTCAATCTTATAGTAGATAATAAGCCTGTCATCGGCAAGTCAGTAATTTTACTTGGTTGGATGGATTTCTCTTCCGTGTGTATTATTTGGCTCGATGGAGCAGGTCCCCCAATTAGACGGGGTGTTGCTTTAACTATTAAATCATCCGGATACGAAACACTGGTTATTGTTTCTAGTCTACTTTTTAAAATAGTCGAATTGCCTATATAAGATGTAGTAAAATATGTATATGTTGTATAAAGTGTCATTGGATCTGGTGAAATAGTCGAGCTTAACTCGTTCACTTTGATTGTTGGAATTTCTTTTAGTAAAACATTTGGAGATGTCACCTCATTATCAGATGTAGCTTTTAATTCTGTACTAATTCTATGCACTGGCGTTGCCAATACAAATGGCCTATATGTTTTCACTACATCTAATTGAATAGATGGTGTTGCCGCGGCATCTGACGTAAGAATATTGCTTACTGTTTCTTCACGACTAGTAGTAGCAGTTTCATCTCCTTTAATAAACGTTGTCCAATAAGTAAAAGTAGTGAAGTATGTTAACGGTTGGAAAGTCTTACTTTCTCGCTGCATAACAGCTGTTGGTCTTATAGTCTCCGTTACAACATTTGTGACTGTTTTTAAACGACTAGCAACATCAGTCGCATCTCCATTGTACATGGTAGTAAAATATGTATAAGTTGTATAAGATGTTTGCAATAAAAGAGTAGGCGCAGGTTCTACATCGTGATGATTTGTTTCTGATAATTCTTGATCTTCTGGTACATTATTCTTTTTATCTATTACATCAAGCACCGTACTTTCTCCAGCACTTGAGCTAAACGTTACATCGGTCTTCATAGATCCTACAACTTCTCCATCATTAGAAATTTTTTCTGTAGTTATTACATCGTCTAGAATTGTAATGTCATCGACCGTAGTAAATAAAGATGAATTTTCAGTTGTTACTTCATTAGTTTCTTCCGTTGTAGCTTGAGCTTGTTCTTGTACCATTTTTGCTAATGATAAAGCTTCTTCGGGAGACTTTTGTTTATTCAATGCCTCTAAATATGCTAAAATTTCAGGTGGCGGTGCGGCTTTAGCTGATTTCGTATTACTAATTATTTCTGGTGATACGAATACAGATGTAGGTTGTATGTTTTCAGAAATAATATTACTGAATACTTCAGTTCTTGTTTCTATTTCAGATTCATCGTCAACTATTATTGTTGTAAAATACGTATAAGTCGTATAATAAGTTTTTAATTGTTCACTTGATAAGTGCAAACTTGCTGTTGAAATTGGACTAGGTTCAAGTAAAATTAAGTCATCGTCCTTATCTTTATCCGATTCATTTATAATTTCCATTGCTGATTGATCTTCTATAGTTGTTAATTGATCAGCTACAGTTGTTAAGATGTTTTCCGTAATTTGCTCAGTAGTTTCGTAATTGTCATCATTGTTATTATATATATTTTGTGTCTCTATCGTTTTAGTATTCGAATTAGTAAAGCTAACATCTGATACTTTAGTTGGTAATATTGAAATTGGTTCTTCATTATTAATGAGCAAATCAACATCGATTAAGGTACTGCCTGGATCTATAGTCTGTGTTACAACATTAGTAGCAGTTACTTTTCGACTTGAAATACTTGTTGTCGAATCATCGTAAAAGGTAGTTAAATATGTAAAGGTTGTAAATATTGTTTTAAATATTAATTGTATTTCTTCTATTTCTTGTTTTTCGGCATTATTTTTATTTTCGATCAAATCTATATTTGAAGAAATTTCAACCTTATTTGTCGCAGTTGCGGGCAATATTGCAGAAGCAGTATTTACACTTTGCAAACTTGTTGGTAAAATTAACTCTGGTAAAAGATTAACTTCTGAAGAAGTTACTTCTCTTGATTTAATTGACGTACTTGTTTGACCTTTACCTGGGATGAAGAATGTAGTGTAATAAGTAAAAGTTTTGTAAACGGTCGATGGCAAGAGCCGCGTAGACAATGATAATTTATCATCCGAATTTGTTTGTCTGTGACCTTTATGAATAGGAAACTGATTTTTTGGAGACGAGCCTTTTATACTACGGCCTTGGTTCCGTGGTATAATATCATTGCCAAGCTCATTTTCGGTTGTCACTTCCTTAGCGAGAACTTCTTTTATTGTAGTTAAGGTGTCATCGGTTGTATCCGGTTGTTGTGTGCTACCAGAATCGCCAATAATATCGCTGGATAGTGAATCATTTTCGTCATTATTTGGCAAATTGTAACCTTTAGTACTTTCTTCTGGATAGAAATAAACGTTTGAAGATGTATGTACAATTTGTGCGTAATTAGTGCCAATGTAAGTGCCATAAATAGAACTTACATAATGCGTTGTTATGCCTTTCATTGTGGCTGTAGAATCAATAACTTTAAGCAAGCCAGTGGGATTTTGTAATCCAGTTTTCACATCTGGTACTAATAATAATGGGCTGGTTATTTGTCCAATATAATCAGTTTCTTGTTGATCTCCTGTACTTGGTTGGAGATCTATAGGCCTGTTACTGTTAGTTTGTTTCGGACCTTTGTGTAGCATATCATTGGTAAAATTGCGGTTTTTAATTGGAATAGTTTCTGTTTTTTTTGGATCAGAAATAACGTTACTTGGTCTGATTTTCAAAACAGCTACTCCGTCATCTGGTCGAAGAGTTGCGTCGCCTTTAATTGTAGTTGCTGGACGTCCAACAGGTACAGGTGCTGTACTTGGAGAAAAAACTATCACGGTATCACCTACTGTTGTGACAAAATCGGCAAAGCCATGATATGTAACGGTAGCCAATGGTTTTGCATCTTGCTTTTTCAATAATACTTTTGGTTGTGGTCTAAAAATTTTTGGTACTCGGGGACGAAAGATTTTCGGTTGATCTTCTTCAAGATCACTATCCGATCCTTTTAAAGTATAGTCTTGTTTGATGGTATATGTTGGAAGATTGTCGGTGCGCACTTTCGCAGGCTTAAGTCGTACATCATTGTGTTCACGTTTATTAAAAATATCATTATCTTTTAATTCATTTAAGTCCTCTTTTATCGTTATATTTTCATTTTTGTTGGTGGTTGCCTCAAAAATTGCGGCTGGTGCATCATCTGAGAAGCTTTGCGATGACCAATTATCCTCAAGTGTCGCTGAAGGGTAAACAACATAGGGACTTGATGGATCAGCAGGTGATTCCCTATCGTAGAAAATTCTGCTTGAAGTCGAAAGTATTTTTGCATAAAATCGACCATTATCTAATGTCGTTCCTAAAATTTGAGTGGCATATTCCGTACTTGCTCCATCTTGAACAAAGGTTCTTGCGGTTTTTGATAAAAGACCGACTGGAGGAGTGGATTTACCGGGACGTGCAGGTACCAAAAGAACGGTTGTTAAACCTTGTAATTCAGCAAACGCATTTGTACAATTAACGTTTCGCCAATAATGTACATAATAAAATATTTAAAATTTTATTGTCAAAGAACAAAAGTTGTTTTCACGTAATCATAGTCAGTATCGTGTATATATAATTGTCAGTATCGTGTTTATGATCAGTTTAATTTGAAACGTTGATTGTCAGAGAGACGAAGTGGCGAACGGACGTTGGAGGCAGACGGCACCCAGTTGTTGAGAAGAGTTGAAGGCGGGGAGCAGACGGGAGCAGTAACAGAAACAGAAAAAAGAGATAGACAATCTTAGTAGACTCACAAATTAGTAGCTTCCTTACGACTCGAGCTGCACCGTGAAACCCACTTTGGCGTTACTAAATCTTTGATTCGGTTAGAGAATTTATTTATTTATTTTTATAGCTAATTATTGCAGAAAAATTGTTTATCCATTTATGGAAATACGAAGATAGAATTTAATACATAAACAAATAGAATGTAGGAGCGACAGAAATTTAAATATACAAGGTAAATGTATATACATACGATAGATTGTATATAAATTTTTACTTTTTATAGTGACATAGTGTTTCTTTTTAAATGTATCAGTTATTAAAAGAAGTAATAAAATATTTGTAAGATTTATAATTATATAAGCTTTCATAACGAGAAATTTGTAATTTTCATAAATAAGGGGATCATTAAAATCAAATGTTTTTGTAATAAACATTTTTCCAACATAACTCTTGTAATGATATTTAATAAATTAACTTTCATTGAAACGTGAAACTTAATAAATGCAAATAATAATTTATCCTTCTTTCAACTCTAAATACACTTTTATTAGTAGAATAATTCACAGAATAGATATATTAATAACTTTATGATATTAACTCATCATTATTATATACAATGTTAATAGAAAGTTATAATTGATGTACTAGTATCAGAGTAAATTAAAAACAAAATTTTTAATTTCAAATTTACAAATTTTATAATATACGCAACAAAAGTATATATATATATATGTTTGTGTGTGTGTGTGTGTGTATATATATATATATATATATATATAAATAATTAAATATAAGCTGTATGTGAAAAAGAAGCATGAGTCCACTCTAAATTTATATACACGACACGGCCGCACATCGCGTCAACGCATGAAAATGTAAGCTTCCAGAAAAGTACGAAATAGAAGAAGGAAAGGAGATGAAACTAATATTGTAATTATTGGAAAGAAATTTTATCAAATTGTAAACATGCATTACATATATAATACAATATTATGTTTTATTAATGAAGTGTAAATTATGTTACACAACATTATATCTAAAAATTACACAATATATTACATTAATGAGGCACAAAGAATAAAATGTATACAAAATGTTATATGAAAGATTTAATGAATTTTGGATCTTAAAATAAGTTTAAAAGTCAACGGTGTTAAAGTATAAAAAATATTAATCGTTTGTTTTTAACTTACCATCCGTATCTCTCTGAATTCTCGAAGCACTAATTTTATCATGTGAATAAAACTCTGAAAAAAGATTATTTTAATTAGAAAACATGTTGAGTAGACAATCGGTAATATAAAAAAATAGTTTATATCGCTTTAGAAATACCTTAAATGATCTAAGACAATGCTCATACCAAATAAAGAATGCTATGATTATGTCATTACGGTTGTGTAAAAGCAAATACTGGAAGCTAACGAGAATCGACTAAGCATAGAAAATCTGATAGTGCGACGCTGACACGAGTTGAAGATGTCGTTCATAAGTCGCGACGTACAGTTACTTGACCGACTCCCCGTATCTGCTTGTAGCTGTTGTACAAATCCAGAAGTCTACATTACCCGGAACAATTGTCAATTCACAGATTTGACTAACCTTTTAAAATTTTACGAATATTGTTACTTTTAGAATAACAATAACGAACTATGTCATCTACTCTCTCATAAGAATTATAAACGTTTATTTAAAATTCATTAGAAATATATATATATATATATATATATATATATTAATTCAAATCTGATAATTCTAATATATTCTAATTTTAATTACGTTTCCTTTGTAAGCTGCATATAATTAGGCGTTATATTTATTATTATTACTGTTTATCCATTTATATTCGTGTCTATACCAATGCTATTCTACTTATATATAAAGCTTAGCTCATTATTTTCTTCAATCTTGTTATTTTATAAATGTTTACAATGCATTATCGATTATACCAATAATTCATTATTATGATAATTTTATTACTGTACTCGGGACACTTAAAAATACAAATTTAAACAAAAAGAACAAAAATTTAAAGTAAGTAATAAAGAATTTACTAGAATGTTAAACGATACAAAATTATCGAATAAAAACTTAATACGCTAATATATTATAAAATTAAATTTCCTTTAAATGAATTACGACAATAATTTAATATAATATTTGTAAAGTAACTGTATTAATTTGATCGAATTAAAAAAAAATATTTCGTAGTTTTTTCGTATTTGGCATTCCTAGTATTACATATAAATACTGCAGACATTAAGATCAGATAGTGAAGTATTCTAAATTATTAAATAATTTAAGTATTAATTTTTACATTTCATCAACAATTCACTCTTACATAGTAATAAGTATGTCATAAGGGCGTAAAAATAATTTTAAATTAGTTTGCTGTGCGGTAGATATTCACTACAAAGCATCCGATAAGACTAAATATAATATTAACAACTCAGCGCTCAATTTTTATTTAAGGTAGATAGATGTCTTAAACGTATATAATTTTAGTCGATTCACCGTAGTCTTCACGTATGTCAAGACGAATCGAATTCAACGAATTTCTTTCATCTTGATTGACAGCCTCCATACATCCGGTGACCTACGACTGTTCTACTCTCTACTCTTTGTATAAAAACCTGATCTGCAATTTGTGTTGCAATTATCAAATTGTTTATAGTACTAAATGTACATACTTAGTATATATTAAGTTAATGTAAAAACTATTTTTTAATTGAACGCTACTTCATTTCTTTCTTTCTTGCTTTTATCATATTTTTAATAATTTAATATTACTAGTATATCGAAAAACTTGAATATTTGTTTTATTCCTATTGTGGGAAAATAATGCATAATTGAAAGTTATAAATAAATGATTAT